GTGTATATGTATATATGAATGTGCATGCATGCACATGGGTAATACATGTGTACATGTATATATGTATACAGAGGTGTGTGTGTATATATGCACATGCACGTGTACATGTCTATGCATGTACATATGCATATATGTATACATGTGTGTGCATTTGCACGTGCATGCATGTGTGAATATTTATGTACGTGCGTATATGAGTATGCATATATATGCATGTATGTATCTGTATGGTTTGTGAGCCACACTCAGCAGTGCTCAGGGGTCACTTCTGGTAGGCTCAGGGATCCTATGTGGTGATGGGGTTGGAGCCATGGCTGGCCACATGCAAGGGAAGCACCTTAACCCCTGTGCTGTCTCTCAGGCCCCAAATCCCAACAATACTCAGCCAACTGACCCTGCCATGCTGGGAACCACCTGAGCCCCCAGCAGTGCTGGGTGGTGCTTGGGAACCCTGTGGTGCTGGGGAAGGAGGCCAGGGCAGGCACATCACCCCATGTAGCTGCCTGATGCTGTCTCTTAACTGTCTGTCCTTTAGTCATTGTGAGGTGCTTTTCAGTCTCCAGGGCAGCCAGTTCCAAAGCTTTGTGGACCATCTGGAGTGCCTTGGGCGTTGTTCCTCCAGTTCTGTTCTGCTCACTCTTTCCATGGTGCATCTTCCTGCATCCATTTCCTCTCAGCCTCTTGGTATCTGACTGTCGCGTGTGTCTTGTGCAGAGAGCAGATGCCAAGTCGTTTCCGCTCCCACATGCTGGCCTCTTAATGAGGTGTCTCACTGAGTCTCAGTCCATGTTGCATTCTTCACTGATAAGCTAGAATGTAGTTTGGTAGTTTGGTACACATTTTCTGTTCAAAATGTTTTTTTTTCTTCCTCTAATTCGTTTCTGCCATCTTTTGGGTTGTATATATTTTTCCACTTAAATTCAATGTCTTTTTCTTTACTGTGTTTTCTCTGTTATTTTTGTTTTGTTTTGTTTTTCTTTGGGGGCCACATCCATGGATGCTGAAGACCCACTTCTGGTTCTGCACTCAGGAAGTATTCCTGGCAAGGCTCAGGGTACTATGTGGGGTGCCAGGGATTGAACTCAGGTCGGCTGAACTACAAGTCAAATGCCCTATCTTAACTCTGGCCCCCTTTTACTGTTTTGTATTTTTTGGTTGCTTTTCTTTATTTTCGTAGTGTTCTCCTGGGAATTAAAATAAATAATGTATAACAACCCGTTGCATACTCATCCCATTTGGCATCGACCATACAAAGTGTCATAGACAACTACACACTTTCTTTCCCCTGTCCTTGTTTTCATAGAAACTGATTTCCGACTACATCCTATGCTGCTGTCTCTCAGATCAGAGGTACCAGAAAGCTCTGTCCTGTGCCACCAGCGAGCCAGTGGTCTGGGATGGGCCATGAGCAGCACTGTTTTCTTCCAGGCATGTCTCCAGGACTGGAGTTGGACTCTGCAGCCAGGGAACGTCTTTGGTTCTCACACAGCCTGAGCTCTGGAGTTCTTGCTCACCAGATTTGCCCCTTCACTCACTCTAACAGGGGACCTGCTTCTCCCCCAGCAACTGGCGCTTCCCAGGACACAATCTCAGTGTGAATCTCTGTATTTCGCCTTCTGGGACTGGTTTGGCTTCTTGCTTGTATTCACATATACACGAGAATGTTTTAAGCCACTTGGGAAAGCTTTAGACATAATTCTTTCAAATGCCTTTTTAAGCCTCTGGGTCTGACCCACTTTCTCTACTCATTTTTTGTCTCTCAGGTTGTCCTTCCCTTTCACTGCTCTTTCTGTAGCTGTTCAGATCTGCTGTGCGCCCCTAATGGCACTATTTTTGAGTCTGTTACTATATGTCTGAATGCCGGGATGTCTGCTTCTCTTCTCCAATGTGTATGATGTTTCATTTGGTTGATTTTGGTTTTGGGGTTACTCCCAGCAGTGCCGGTAGCACCCCGTGGGACCACACTCCCAGCCCCAACGTGCAATCATTACTGATACTCTTTATCTGGTGAAACATTTCCATGCTTTCGTTCTCGTATTTATTGTTTTATTGGTGAGGCAAGATATTTTTATTAAAACTTATTTAGAAAGATGCGAGGGGAAAGAGAAGAAATATGTGTTCTAGGGAGAATATGAACTTGAAAAACAAGCTTAATTCTTTTTTTTTCTTTTTGGGTTATACCTGGCGATGCACAGGGGTTACTCCTGGCTCTGCACTCAGGAGTTACTCCTGGCAGAGCTCAGGGGACCTTATGGGATGCTGGGAATCGAACCCGGGTCGGCCGCATGCAAGGCAAACGCCCTACCTGCTGGGCTATCTCTCCAGCCCCACAAGCTTAATTCTTTAGACATTTTTTCATTAGTTCTTGAAATGGTTGTGCTTCGTTTTGTTTTGGAGCCACACTCAGCGATGCTCAGGGATTACTCCTGGCTCAGCACTCAGGAATCACTCCTGGTAGTCCCCAGGGGACCAACTATATGGGGTGCCAGAGATTGAACCCAGGTCAACCGCATACAAGGCAAACATCCTCCCCTCTGTACTATCTCTCCAGCCCCTTGAAATGTATTTAAGACCAGCCCCACAGAGTTGTCATCAGCGACTCTCTGCCTGTCCTAGCCCCTGTTCCACGTTTCTTGAAGCTTTGCATGTTGCTAATTACTCCTTTGACAGATGGACATTGAAGTGATGGTGAAAATTCTGGAAGTCGTGTGCCCTGTAGCTTTCCTGATCTGCGTGTGTGCAGCGACCCAACAGAAATGGGTCCTACCAAAATGAAGTCCATCTTGACTTGACAGCAGGACGACTCTGCCAGACTCCAGGATCTGGAGCCATTTCTGACATGGTGCTGTGGCCTTTCTGCCCAAGGCACTGGCTAGGAGGAGGGTCCCTGATGGTGCTGGACTAGAAGTGGGTCTGCACTTGGATGGAACCAGCGTTAAGGGTGCATGGCATATGAAGACTGCTTGCCACCTGTAATGGGGCCTGGGCTGCCATCAGAGGGATGCGTCTGACAAGAGCCAGGGGTGCTGGGGTGTCTGGGGGACTCCACTGATTCTAAAGCCCTCCTGGACATGCAAGAAGCGGGGTATTGAATGGGGGAGGCTGAGGGGAAGGAGGACATAAGACAGCATGCGGGCTGAGGGTAGGAGAAGGGGGAGAGGAGGGGAGGTCAGCAGGGGAGGAGAGGAGGCTGAAGAGGGACAGAAGGGGAAGAGGAGGACAGAGAGGAGGGGAAGGAAGGACACCTGGTGGGAGGAAGCTGAGGGGGAGGAAGGGAAGAGAGGAAGCCAAAGGGGAGATAAGGGGAGGAGGCTAAGGCAGGAAGAGTTGAGAGGTTGTGGAGGGAGAGGAGATAGAGGAGAAGGTGAGGGAAGGAGGCTGAGGGGGGAGGGGCAGAGGGGGAGGTGAGGAAAGGAGACTCTGGGAGAGGAGGGGAGGGAAGGCGGGCTGAGGAGGCTGAGGAGGGCAGGCTGGGGGTGCATAGCCTTTGGAAAAACAGTGAGAGTGGAGTGCAGAAGCGGGGAAGAGGCTGTAGTCTGGGAGCTGCCCTGGGTGACGCTGTGTGGGGGCAGTTCTGCCTTTCCAGAACCAGCCCGGATAGAGGAAGGGGGCGGCAGTAGCAGGAGACCCTGGTTCCCCGCAAAGGTGTGGAAATTATGCTGTGACAGAGGTCACAGTGGCTCAGTCCTGGTGGCCTTTGGCAGGCCTAGACAATGGTTTTCTGAGACTTTTGTCATCATACTGGTAGGCGCAGTGCACAGGGAAGGTGCCCTGGCCTAGGTCCTGGCCCTCTCCACCCACTCAGGGAGGCAGGAACTTGCCACCCTGAGCCACCCGGAAGCCTTGCAACACTCTCTGGCCACAAGCGCCTCGGAAGTGGGCCAGCAAGGGAACAGGCTGTATGGCTGTTCCACGGAGGTCACTGGGGTGGGGTGCCACCCCCTGTCTTCTGCACAGCTTTGCACACACCAAGGACAGGGCCTGCTGCGGGAAACCACTTGTTTTTGGTTTGGGGGTCACACCCAGCAGTGTTCAGGAGTTACTCCTAGCTCTTTGCTCAGGGATTGTTTCTGGTGATGCTCGGGGGACCATATAGGGTACTGGGGATTGAACCAGGTCGGGTGTGTGAAAGGCAAACCGCCCCAAGCTGGACTGCTATTGCTCTGGCCCCATGTTTTCTCGGGACACCATGGTTCTGCTGGCGTGAGCTTTGTGCGGCTCCTCGAAGCACAAGGTCCCTGAGGCTCGGTGCTTCCGTGTGAGTGACGGCTCCCTGGAAATGCACTTTGGAAGCTGCCTAGCCCAGGGACACTCCTGAGGCTACACGCGCCTTGGACCATCAGCTTGCTCCCTGTTCTTGGGGATCACGCTTATCTTCTCTGACCTTTGCGACCCTGTGAAACACCAGCGGGCCCCGGTTCCACGCGCCGTTTCCAAAGCTCCTACGCTGGGGACGCGGCGCCCAGGTTTCTGGGGGTCCTTCCTGAAGCCCTTTCCCCGCGAGTGGGAGCTGAGGGCGCCGCAGCCAAGCTTCAGCCCGCCGGTGGGCAGCAGGGATCGGTGCGTCCGAACGGGGCGGAAAAGGGCGCCCCAAGCTGAGCCCGCAGGTCCCGCCCTGCCGAGGGTGTGGCTGCGCCGCCCGGGAAGGTGCCGCTCTGCTCGCGGCCGGGCGCTGGCACCTCCTCCGAGGCTGGGGACGGAGGAGACCGGGAGGGAGGCGCAGGGGGAGGGCGGAGGGAAGACAAAGAAAGGGGTGCGGCAGGCGGGACGGGCGTGACCTCAGCCGCGGGAGCGCCTCTGCCTCGGAGCCGGCCGGGCGCTGTCCCCGTCCGCTGTCGCCGCGCGTCCTGCCCGCCTTGCGTCGCCCGCGGTGAGTCGGGGGCCTCGTGCGCGAGGCCCCTTCCCCGGGCGGTGGGCGGCGTGGCCCCGGCTCTGTCCTCGACGCGCCCGGCTGGGGCGGGGCGCGCGGCGCGGGGAACCCGGCGGTGCCAGTGCTTTCCCTCCGCCCAGGCCATGGGGAGCGCGGGCCGGGCCCTCTGCGCCCTGCTGCTGGCCATGCTGGGGCCGGCGACCGGCCAGCCGCAGCCCGCGGAGTCGCCGTGCACGGCGCCGGCGCTGGCCAAGTACAGCCTCACCTTCACGGGCAAGTGGAGCCAGGCGGCCTTCCCCAAGCAGTACCCGCTGTTCCGGCCGCCCGCACAGTGGTCGTCGCTGCTGGGTGAGTGCCGGCGGGGCGCGGGCAGGTGCGGGCGCGAGTGGCCGCCACCTCACACGGCTGTCACCGCGGCCAGGGGCGGCGCACAGCAGCGACTACAGCCTGTGGCACAAGGGCCAGTATGTCACCAACGGGATGCGGGACTTCGCGGAGCGCGGCGAGGCCTGGGCGCTGATGCGGGAGATGGAGGCGGCGGGGGAGCAGCTGCAGAGCCTGCACGCGGTGTTCGCGGCGCCCGCCGTGCCCAGCGGCACCGGGCACACGGCCACCGAGCTCGAGGTGCACCCGCGGCACCCCCTGGTGAGCGCTGGGGCACGCGGGCCCCGAGGGGGCGGGCGAGGGGCACTTGGGCAGAGTGGGACGGCGAAGCGGGGTGCGGGGACCGCGAGGGCAGTCGGGTCCAAGCGGACTGAGGGCGTGGGGGGGCGCCCGCAGGGAGGGGCGGGACTGCGGGGCTGCGGTGGGGGGGCGGGGCGGACGAGACGGGGGCGGGGCTGTGGTGAGGTGGGCGGGCGAACAGAGGCGAAGGGCGGGGCTGTGGTGAGGTGGGCGGGGCGGACAGAGGCGGAAGGGAGGGGCTGTGGTGGGCGGGGCGGACAGAGGCGCGGGCGGGGCTGTGGTGAGTTGGGCGGGGCGGACAGATACGGGGGCGGGGCTGTGGCGAGTTGGGCGGGGCGGACAGATACGGGGGCGGGGCTGTGGCGAGATGGGCGGGGCCATTGCTAGGTGGGCGGCGAATAGTGGTGGTGGGCATGGCCAGTCCATGGGCGCGGCGCGTAGGAGGTCCCGGTCTGAGCTCCGGCGTGGGCCCCCAGGTGTCCTTCGTGGTCCGCATAGTGCCCAGCCCTGACTGGTTCGTGGGCGTGGACAGCCTGAACCTGTGCGACGGGGACGGCTGGAAGGAGCGCGTGTCCCTGGACCTGTATCCGCACGACGCGGGCACAGACAGCGGCTTCACCTTCTCAGCCCCCAACTTCGCCACCATCCCGCAGGAGCCGGTGACCGAGGTGAGAGGGCGCCCGGGGCGGGCGGCGGGCAGCGGGTGGCGGGCCGGGGCCGCGCCCAGCATCTTGCTGTCCGCAGATCACGTCCTCCTCACCCAGCCACCCGGCCAACTCCTTCTACTACCCGCGGCTCAAGGCCCTGCCACCCATGGCCAGGGTCACCCTGGAGCGCCTGCGCCACACCCGGGCCTTCGTCCCGCCCGCCCCGCACCTGAGGCCCGCGGGCAACGAGGTCCCCGACAGCCCCTCAGGTGAGCCAGGGCCAGGTTGGGTGAGGGCAGTCTGGGGAAGAGAGATGCCATGGGACAGCCCTGCCCTCACCTCATTGGCGGACGTGCCCGCCCAGGAGGGACACTGTGGCAAGGACCACACTAGTGCTGGCGTGCCTGCAGGGCCAGGGCCCTGAGGACCCTCCAGCCTTGACCACGAGGTCACCGCATCGACAATGTGGCTGCAGGGGTCTTGGGGTGCAGACCCCACTGCTGGCCCTCCTGAGCGCTTTTGAAGGTGGAGCCAGGTAGGGACCCTGTATCTTGGCCGGGACAGTCACTCATCCAACCCTTGACGGCCCCTGGGGAATGTGCCCTGGCTGGGAGAGTTGGGGTTGAGCAGACTCCGGGGGTCTGCCTGCCAGTGGGTGCATTGGGCACTGAGGGCACGCTGCGGGATGTGGGACTCAGTCTTCAGCTCCTTCTAAGGGGCCTGGAAGTTTCCCAGCCTTCTCCTCTCACGGCCTCTCCTCCCGTCTAGCTCCAGAAACGCCGCTGGACTGTGAGGTGTCCCTGTGGTCATCCTGGGGGCTGTGCCACGGCCCCTGTGGGAAGCTGGGCTCCAAGACTCGGACCCGCTACGTGCGTGTGCAGCCTGCCAACCAGGGCGCACCTTGCCCAGAGCTTCGAGAACAGTCAGAGTGCACCCCTGATAACTGTGTGTGACGTCTCGGCGCCACCCGTAGCTCGCCCTCCCTCAGCGCGGGCCGCAGGTGCCCGCCTACAGCCATGCTAAGCCTGTGCCCTTGTATTTATTACCTCGGGACATACCCACTCCACTCTCCCCCCCCCCCCCCGGGCCACCCCAACCTGGAGATCCAAGCCAGGTTTCCTGAAATACAGGACAATGTCCTGGAGCACAGGCCGGGGTGGGCAGTGGGTAGGACGCGCTTAGACCTACGGCACTCCTATGCTGGAGCAAGGTCGGGTTCGATGACCCAGCACCACCCAGGTCAATAAAATGAAACACGACAAAATAAAACCAGGTGCTGCCACATGGCCTCACCATCAGGCAGGGGGATCCCAGGGGGCAGTGCCCAGGCACCTGCAGCCCCACAGGCTCCTAGAGGGTGGTCTAGAAGCTGTCACCGAACAGGAGAGTTCCAGAAGGAGCATCTCCTGGCTCGAGGCAGAGGCGCTCTTGGGCCCTGGGGACAGCTGACAGGGAAGCAGCCAACTACAGAACACCCAGGAGTCAGCTGTGCCGTCAGAGGATCACATGTCTGTGCATGGTCGGTCCGCTCCTCCTCCCAGTCCTCCTCCTCTCCTCCTCCTCCCAGCCCTCCTCTCTCTCCTCTTCCCCAATCCTCCTCTCTCCTCTCCTACCTCCCCTCTCTCTTCCTACTCCCCAGCACTTCTCTCTCTCCCCTTGCTTCCAACCCTCCTCTCTCCTCCTCCCCAGCCCTCCTCTCTTACTCTTCCTCCCACCCTCTTCTTACTCCTCCCCACCCTCTTCTCTCCCCCACCTTCTTCCACTACCTTCACACTTCCCCTCCCTCCTTTCCCTCTCCCCCACTTCTCCTTTACTTCACCTCCCCTTTCTCCTCTCCCGTCTCCGCCATTTCTTCTGTCATTTCCTCCATCTAGGCTCAGCCTCCTCTATTTCCACCTTTCATCCCTTCACCTGCTCCTCATCAGCACTCAATTTCCTCTTCCTGTACAGATGCACGCCCCTAGGGATCACCTGAGTGCGGGCCTTGGGAAGCAGACAGTCCCCTGTGAATATTCTTTCAGCAAGGGCCATGCTCATTGAGTGCCATGGAAGGGGCAGGGCTGAATCCTGCTGAGCAACAGGCTGCCTTTGTGAACAGAGGGGACTTTTTGGGGATTTTGTCTGCATATGTTCTCTGGAGTGTGCAGCACAGTTCAGGGATTCTTCCTGATGTAGATATCCTCCGTGTGTATGTGTGTGTAAATGTTTGTGCATGTGTGAGTGTGTGATGGTGGGTATGCATGTGTGTAAGAAAGTGTGAGTATATTTAAGAGAGTGTGCATCAGGCCAGAATGATAGTACAGTAGAGAGAGTTTGCCTTGCTTGTGGCTGACCTAGGTTGACCTACGTTTGATCTTCGTCATTCCATACTGTCCCCTAAACACCACCAGGAATGATTGCCCTCTCCTGAGGGCAGAGTCAGGAGTAGCCCCTGAGCACCACCAGGTGTTGCCCTAAACTAAAAAAAATTTTAAAAAGAGTGTGTGCATGTGTGTAAGTGTACCCATGTGTGTGCATGCACTGCACATATGTGCATATAAGTGTGTGCATGTGTGACTGTATGTGTGCATGAGTGTGCGTGTGTGACTGTGTGTATATCTAAGCCAGCCTTGTATATACCTCACTGAGAACACAGGAAGGACCTTGGCATGCTCTGTGCCCAGCTGTGCCAGTGCCTCGTACTCTGCCTCCTCTAGCCTTGCCAGCGCAGATTCCCAGCATGTGCTTGCGCGCAAAGACCGCTGCTGTGCAGACTGGACAGGCTGTGAACACGGCACCCAGTGGAGACAGGGTATTTGTGAGGGCTGAGGAACTGTTCATGCGTGATGCCTTGGAATGAGAGTACAGAAGAGATGCAGTGTGTGTAGGGCCTCCATGTGCAGGGAGGCCACCAGTCAGGGTCCCGGGCACCCTCAGGACAGGGGCCAGACACACCACTCCCCTTCCCCTCCTGCATCTCCCTGGCCCCTCCTTCTCTCCTCCCTCCCCCACCTTCTTCCTCACACCCTGTCCCTCTCCCCCTTTTTCTGTGCCCACTGCCCTGTCTCCCTCTCCCTGTCACCTACATTTGTTGCTTCACGACACCCGGAAGTCCTCCCTGCCCTCCTGCTGGTTTCTGCCTTCAGCACGTGGGGCCCATCCCTTCCGTCCCACCTGTCCCTCTTCCCACAAGGTAGCCCTGGGCCACTCAGGAAGACTGAGCTACGTCATCTTTGTCCCTGCTGCCCCTGCCCAGGGACCCAGCTGCCACTTCCCACAGAAAGTAGTAGCAGACGGCAGTGACATTCAGTGTCCCTCTGTTAATCAGAGCGTGGCGGCAGCCCACAGCGGTGGCAGAAATGCAAGTCCGAATGTTTCTGCTCACAGTTTGGTTTTCTCTCACGAGCGCCTTTTACTTCCACATGGCAGAGCGGGAGGAGAAATGCATCATTGAGGACATCCCGAGCAACACACTGATCACAGGTAGGGTGTATCCAGGGACAGGGCAGGATGACCCCAGAGCACCCCTCCCCCTTTCTCTGGCATGCAAAGCCAGTGGGGACAGACAGAGGGTATTGCAGAGTGCACCCCAGAACCACCGCTGTTTCTCCATTCCCAGGCTTTCTGGGGTCCCAACTCACAGGCATTGAGGCTGAAAACTCCAGAGAGCAGTGGTTGGGAATTTGTGGGTTGTGGTGGGCCGTGGCCCCACTGCACTGTGGGAACAGTGCGGACCTTGGCTGCCCCCGGCTGCTTCCTCAGGGGTTCCCCACGCGGAGCTGACCTAGTCCCCAGGCAGGATCCTGCCCCGACTCCAACTCTCCTGCTGCCCCATGGGCCCTGAACTTCACACAGTGCAGCAGGACAGGGCTGGTGACACTCCAGGTGTCCTCTGCAGGAACCAAGCCCGAGCCCTCCTGCCTATCCTGGTGGCATTTGGTCAAGGACTGTTCTAGACTGTGCTGCAGCAGGAACTGTGGTGTGGGGATGCCGAGGGGGGCAGCGCTCAGGAAGGCGCAAGTTGAGGACCCGTCGGGGTGGGTGTGGACCCACAGATACGGCGGCAATACCCACACAGAACCCTCGTCTGAGCAGCTCAGGCCAGCCCCACCATGCGTGTCCCTGTGCACCACCTGGTGACTGGGAGAGACACAGGGACAGACAGCAGTGATGCCACCTGCCCACGGCCACCTGCTGGCAACCTCTAGCCTGCCCACCGGCAACAAGACTGCAGTGTTGGCCTGTACCTACCAGTTGCAGGTCCACTGCAAAGGCTGCCCGCTGGACTCGCTGCACTGTTCGAGGACAGGCCTGAGCTTGCCTGACCAGTCACCTCCCTCAGCTCCTGGACAATCCTGCCTAGGACGTGGGGCTCCAGACCTGCAGCCCACCAGGGCACACGTCCTCACTTTCTGCTCATGAGCCCATGTGGGAGGCCTCAGTGCCCAGCCGGGGAGCACAGGAGCCCACCTCGCTTTAGGACGTGCTATAAGGGCACATGGCCATGCAGCAGCCTTCAGCAAAGGCCGTTTTCAGGACAAACCCAGTCTAAGGGACAGGGGAAGAAAGGAGAAGACGAAGCACAGTGGGAGGGGTGGATGCTCAGGAGTCCCACGCAGGTTCAGGAGCAGCTCCGAGAATCGGCCACAGAGGTTCACTCTTCTTTTTTTCTTTTTGGGCACACCCAGCGATGCACAGGGGTTACTTCTGGTTCATGCACTCAAGGAATTACTTCCAGCGGTGCTCGGGAGACCATATGGTAGCTGGGAATCAAACCCGGGTTGGCTGCGTGCAAGGCAAACACCTTACCCACTGTGCTATTGCTCCAGCCCCTGGAGGGCCACTCAGCCTCAGTTTTCCTCTAACTCTGGTATTGCCCTTACATCAGCACACCACAGCAAGCATGCACCCCCAGAAAGAGCCCAGCAACACCCAGCACTCTGTTCTGATACTTCTCCTGGCTAACTCCTGCTGCGCATGGGCCCCAGGGGGCTTTGGGCCTGGGAAGGGCTGGGATTGTGTGGGGTCCCTTGTGTGCCCCACCTCATGGCTCCCTTCAGCAGCCACACCTTTCCCAGAACAAGTAGCAGGGCACTGACCACGGCAAAGGAAGCAGTTCAGAGAGCAAGCACTCCAGGACATGCTCACCTCCAGATGTGCTCACCCCCAGGGCGCTGTTCTCACCTCCACAACACCACCTGGATGTGCTTACCTCCAGAGTGTTGCCTTCACCTCAAAAACATGCTCATCTTCAGGACATGCTCACCTCCAGGACACTATTCTCACTCAGGACATCATTTTCACCTCCAGGACACTATTCTCACCTCCAAAACGCTATTCTCACCTCCAGGACACTATTCTCACCCCAGGACATTATTCTCACCTCCAGAACACTAGTCTCAGCTCCAAAATGCTATTCTCACCTCCAGGACACTATTCTCACCTCAGGACATTATTCTCACCTCCAGAACACTATTCTTACCTCCAAAATGCTATTCTCACCTCCAGGACACTATTCTCACTTCCAAAACACTATTCTCACCTCCAGGACATTTTTGCCTTCAGGATATGTTCACCCTTCCATGCCTTTCAGATCATCAAGACTGAAAATTGATAAACACACCACACACACCTTTCGGGCACTCTGTGGTATGCCCCTTTCTTCAGCTCTGAGGTGGTGTGGGTCTGGACAGGTTCTAGGGATGAGTTTAGTCAGTTACCAGCTGCATGGAGAATGGGTCAGGACTCTGGAGACAGCCAGAAGCCCAGGAACCTGGTGTCACAGGGAAAACTGAGCACTGGCCAGTCCTGGGGTCTCCTTACCTGAACCTCAACACCCCATTTGGGCTTTCAGAACTGGGGGATGGTGAGCCTGTGCTGTCCCTGCTGCACCCTCTCATGAGGCTGCCCCACAGTCTCATGCCAGCCTGCAGAAATACCCACACAGCCACACAACTGTGGAGCTTGGTAGAGACCCCTGAGG